AGAAATGTGTCTGATAAAACAGTAAAAGACATGCGAGATGTTGCCTACAAAGAAGGTGCGGGGGCAGTTGATCAAGCTCTCGAAAGAAATGGGGTAATTGTAACTAATGGAGGTCATGCTTCTTCACGATCAATGCGAACACCAGTAGAATTGGTTTTTTTTTCAGGCTATGGCACTGATGCCCCGGACTCTCCTGTGGGACGAATATTTTGTCTCGTTTACCTGTTCTTTGGAATACCTCTGTATTTAATTACGCTGGCTGATCTTGTAAGTTCTTAAGGATCACAGATTACGAAAAATATCAAAGGGCATGGCTGCCTAAAGATTTGGGTTTTCTTCAAGGAAATATCACACGACGAGTTGAGGGGTTAATCCCTGGTGGTTCGGTTGGACAGCCACTGCCCTCGGTGTTTCCATTGTCCCGTTCGAATGTGTGCGACGAGGGCTCGAGGGGTATTCCAAAACCGCCTCAACCTCTCGTTCGCAACAGGTGGATTTCTTCAAGGAAATATCACACGGGGTGTCTGCGCTTTCCTGTCTCACCTCTTCCTTCTCTGCTGCACTCACTTGACCGTTTTGCCTTATCACAGAAGAAGTACGGAAAAAAGGCTTTCAATTCAGCCTTTTAAACGATCCATTTTCATTTTTTTTTCGAAGCAGGTCCACCTCGCACCCTGCTTTAATTTTCGCCTGTATAGAATTCCCCAGAAAAACGTCATGTTGCAGTCGATTGCTCAATCATGGGCCCTTCGAGACTGCCATTATGTTGATCAAAGCTAATTTTTACAGCGAAAAGAAGAAGATCACAAGTTAGGCGGTGTCCAGCTTGTTTCTAACCATAAGTCTAACAGTCCCTTTTAGGCTAAATTCTGCACTGAGTTCATGAACAAACTCTACATTGATATCATAAAGTGCAAGTACCGCATGAGGCGGAAGTACCGGCGATGGAGGTCCGGCCTACGAACTTTGAGCTCTGCCCATATTTTAGAGGAGAGTGAAGAGCGCGAGCTGAAACATCAGTCACATTGGAGGAGGTGAAAAGCGATTCTTCTATATCCAGAACTAACTCGAACTTCGCATACGTAGAAGTGCAGCGCGCGTCGTGAATACGTCAAAGGGAAGATCGGGACGCGAGCAGGGATCGCGCGTATCGCCGCACTCCCGTCTGCGGAAGCATGAATCAAGTCGAGGCGCTCCACCCATGTTGACGAGAAGGGGAAACGTCATTTCTCGATCTCGCTCTTATTGTTTACTACTCCTCTCCTTACCTAGACCATGGAAAAGCGGAAGAATATGTAGAGGGGGGTGGTGGGGATGAGGAAGAAAAAGAAAACAAAGAAACACACTCTTGGGGAACTGCATTTTTTTTGCCAGTATGCCGGCGCTGGACTCCTGCGGCAAGATGTTCATGAAATGCCCTCCGTGTGTAGGAGGATACTCTGTTCATTGTCCTTGCTGCCTTCAGAATTTGAAGTACCCGAAATCGCCGAAGAGCTCAAGAAGCCTTACCATATTTGTTCAAGTCTGAGCTGCTACCTAATTTCTACACTTGATTTTCGAGTGCGCAGTTTTCTAGAGACAGTTGCCCTGACGTGCGAGAACCCTGCAGGCCAGCATTTCAGACAATGTCGTGATGGTACGCGATTCATCGAGTTTTCATTAGTCTCAAACCTTCCATCGGCTCCCCCGGCGAATACTTGTGAAGTCGTCCGTGAAAACAGCTGTTAAGTGTTTGTTTAAGCGGATTTTGCGATTGGAAGGCACCTATTATAATCAAGGTGGAGATGGTCAGTGGTGCAGGAATGTAGAAAAACTATGAAAAACGGGCTAGAACCCGAGTAATGGAATTGATTTCCGCACTGTTCCGACTTTCATCGGTCTATCTCTTCAACGCTAGCGCTTCCTCTGCTAGATGGCGCCGCAGGGAGAACCATGCTAGATCGCCGGGGCCATATCTTCCGCTGCGAATTGTGTGTCGGTCCTACCCTTGGGCGCTTCGCTTGCGATATTGCCATTAGGTAAATTTCCGTCCCTTCGACATTCACCTTTTCGTGGATCCTCCCCAACAGATTAAAATATGCTCATATGTATGCTTCAACTTCCAGTTGGAAGCATCGAATTTGAGTTCAGATAACGATGAATTAGTTTCAAATTTGGGGCCGGAGTCCCATTGCTCCCCATTCTTCGAACGAAACACATTCTGTTAGCGTTCGAGTAATCGACAAGAAAAAAGACCTCGTAGGAATGGGAATATGGTATGCTATTGTCTATAGATAAATATGATAATAACCAGTAACGCCATGCGAAACAGCGCACTTAATGGCAAGTGTCATTTTTGTACGCTTTTTTAAACCATGTGACATCTTAAACAACGTCAGTTTAGGTGGCCGAGTTTTTATGGACCCATTTGGAACACGCGCAGTTTGTGGAAATTCCCTTTCTTCTAATCATTGGTGAGTTTTTCTAGGCCTCACAACGCTTATCGTGAATGGTTTGGTAGCACTACCATAATCATCCAAACTGCTTCAGAACTATAGGCGAAGCCCATAATGTACTAAAATAAATCATCATTCTCGGATCACCCTATTGAAGTCTCGCACAAATTTGAAAATCACTGAGGAAAAGCGCAAGGTGCGAGACCAGAAGCAGAGCGATGTTTAAAAAAATCAAATTTCTTCTTGCTAGGCAGGGTGAACAGTCGAGTAACTCCTTGAAGGGTCGCAGACTTGAATCAATAAGGATTTACTCGAGAAGGTGGGGTGGTAGGCGCAAGGAACCAACCAGAGTCAACCCTGCGTTGCGCAGTTCTCAACGGCACGTTGAGAGATCCTCAACGCACGCTGTATGGGCGGAGACACAGACGGCTCGAGCATGCGAGTGTGAATGTTCGCGCGAGAGAACGTGTCTAATCGGGCGAAACTGCGCAACGTGACCGTTGAAAACTGCGCAACGCAGGGTCGACTCTGCCACACACACGCGGAGCCCCTTATAGGCTTAAAAATTTCTTCTCGTTTTTTAAAGGCAACGGACTTCCAACTGCCTGGAATACAAAATTCAATGAAAGTGTTGTGCCTTTGTAGTAGCGATTCGTAGTGCTGGTGAGAGCACGACTTGCCAAAATATTTGTATTTATGTAAATTGAAGAATCTATCCTATTATGTTACGTGCCTTATAACCTTGGAGGAGACAGGATGCGTTAGGAAAGTCGTTAGACGATGTCAAGCTTTTGACCATATGACAAATTGAGTTGTCGCGTAGTCATAACCTTCGAAAAACCCAGCGGGGTCTTTATATGGACAATGACAGAACCGGATGGATCTCCGCTGAATGTTTTATTCCGTTATCGGAATGAGGTGAATTCTAAAACAATTCGGAGGGCTTTGTGAAGGGTTGCTTGTCGGCGAAGGGATAGGGTTCGAGTGGCTCGGGAGCCGTTCCTCGTTCGATCCGATGCATTTTTTCGACAAAGCGTCTCAAAAGCTGCAGGCTATAGCAAGTTTGGAACTTGCTCAATGTGTTACATGGAATGGTTTCATAGATTTTGAAGTTGTTATTGAGGAAATCATTTTTCAAGAGTGAAAACGTTAGCACTATCCAGTACTCGAAGATTCTCGAAGTCTGAGCGGTCGAGGCTAGGATTTGTTGGTGACTCAGGTGCTTCTCATTTGCTTTCCTTGTCTGTATAGTCACTGATAAAGTTGTAAGTAGTCATGCCATCGCGGGAGACATTTGGGGTTTTCATACTGTGACTCATCGAAGGGGAGCGAGATGCGACCGCGTACAATTAGTGCCGCTATATCGGAGTGCGAGGCTGTTAAGCTGCCTGTAGACAGTATCTCCATTCCTTTCCTAATCATGGAGCATAGGACTATAGTCTGAAGAATAAAGGAGAAGCCACAGGTCTGGGTGCAAATTTTGATGTGAAGGGTTCAGTGCGGAAAGCACTCGCGTGGAAGCGGCGCTGCCTTCCACTCGTGCACTTGAAGTTAACACTTTCTGCTATAAAAACAGAAGAGTGAAAGAGGATCACATCGAGACCTCTGCTAAGGGGTTCCAATTCTATTACTATACTAATACGAGTCCTAGGATCAATAAGCGGTCGAAGCGACGGTAAGACTGTTAGGCGATGAGGATTACAGGGCGCCCCCGACCGTCTGGCGCGAGACGAATCGAACAGACTGGGCGCTATGCGTGAGAGGCGAATGACTCTTTTCGCGAGGCGATATTGTAACGGAGTATGAACCGTCGCTCTGCTTGCTACTGAACTCATAGCGCAAATTTACTCGAGGTCGTAGCGACTGTCACAATAGTATGAAAATTTGCATTGTCGTCGAAGGACCAATGGGACATGTTTTTGGCCACTGACGTTTCACGTGTTCCTTAGAAGACCTGCAATGCTGCGAAGATGTTTATTTCCCTTTCAGTGATTTTTCCAACAGAATTGTTCAATAATAGGTAGTTGACAGTTTTTCAGGTGTTCTTCTCGCTTATATTGCCTTGGCCTCCTACATAATTTCAATAATCGAAGGCTGGCAGCTTTCGGACGGGTTCTATTTCATGATGGTCAGCGTGTTAACAATAGGCTTCGGTGGTGAGTCAACAAAAGTACTGAAGAAGTATATATCAGAAACTATATTAATTATTAAGCACATTTTGTATCAGATCTTGTGCCTCGGAATGAGACGTTCATACTTCTTGTACTGCTCCTAATACTGGTGGGTTTGGTACTCACAACGACTTGCATAGACGTCGTCGGAGCGTACTACATAGACAGACTGCACTTCTTCGGCAGAAGGCTCGACGACGTAAGTTTACTGTTCTGATAGATATCATGAGATATACTTGTTCCGAGCTGTAAGAATGGGTTTTATGAGAGCGCCTTAGTCACTGCTGACCCATCAAGCTTATCTCTTTCTTTGAGAAGACCTTAATACCCAGGGTGTCTCTCTGCCCATGCTGCACGGCTCTTAGGGGGGCCAGTAATTCATTCTTCCTAAACAAGTCAACGCAGGGTCTTACAGTCCAAAGATGTCGTTGCGATGAGAAGGCAACCACCAAGCTCTTTACCATTAGTGTACTACTTATTCCTATTTATATCGTTTCTTCGATGGTTCGGCACAATCGAATACGAAAGCCCACTTATCAACATTGCCGCATCGATTCGTGTCCAAATTGTGAGAATCACCCTGTTGCTTTTGCTAGCTTTGTTTTATGTTGTCCACCCAATTTACTTTTTCCCAAGAGTTTGCAGAGATTTTTATTTCGGATCTCAAGAGTTCTCATCTGACCTCTAAAGAGCGAACCCACTCGGAGCGTAACAATGCGAACCTAAAAGAAAAATTTTTGCGATATAGAGTCGACCAATCCTTCTCAGAAAGCACTAAGTGGTGTGCTCTAGAATCTGATGTATGGCACCACTCTGCTGTCAGCTAGCAAGTTTAAGCGCAAAGATTTGCAGGCATTTGTCCTGCTTCCAATTCTAATTGCTGGATTGGCGGCGCTTGGCATTATCCGTAGAGTGGCTCATTTCTCACGTTCTTTCCGATGAACGGCACATTTTGCTCGCTTTACTCGCTACATCCGGAAGCTTTTAAAGAACCGGCAGTGTGCCAGGATCGCGTTGGTCATTGGCTAAAAAGAATATAAAAGAGTACAGAGAGACTAGTGTGAAGGCCATGAAGAGAGGGGCCATGCGAAAGCTCTTCGAGACCGTTACTGCTCTTCATCACATTCGTTTCACAGGTTTGCTCCACAGCAAATTACAGACCTAGGATGGGGCATAAATGTGCTGGCAAATTGGAACTTTAGGAACTTACCAAATGAGCAGGGCTCGTGAAGTAATCGTTGCAATTCGTAATGTCCTTCTTATAGATTTTATAGTAACTTATATTATAAAACTTATAACTTTTTATAAGTAACTAACTTTGTATTGCCCGAACGGCTCTCACTTGATGGCAGGAATAGAATTTTGCAGTTCATTCGCGCTTCCTACTGCGGAACTTCACTCTGTTTGGTATTTAAATAAATGTATTGCCCAA